CACTCTTTTATTATTGTACTTTTGATGATCATAACTCTTTTGAGATTGCTGTTTTGGTGGTCATAATCATTGTTGAGATTTGGAACTATGGACCAGTAGTAGAAGAAATAAATGTGGACATACGATAATAACAATGACATGGGAAGCAAATCTGACACCAACGTAATACTTAGGAACTTATATGACTCAGTAAGCATTTTAACATCTTAAATTGAAGAACATATCAAGTGAAGACATTTAACATTCAACCAAGATATTTGAACTCTATATGATAGACAAATATTCACTAACATTAAATACAAGGTTTACATGATCGTGGAAACATGGGAGAACATGGGCAAATTCAACTTAAGGACAAATACATATTCCAAGTAAGTACATATAAAATGTACAATAGAGCAAGTAGGGATCTTATGCGGTAACTTTAAAGTGTAACACAATGGGAGTAATAACCAATAAAGGGAATATATGAACATGTGAAAACATGACATATATGACAGAATAGACAATTGAAGCAAGTTGGCAAGATATGGGCTGATTGTATATCCAACACATAAACATATGTACCATGTGTAATTTAGGATGCATGCATGCTAATACTTGGTATTGTAAGCACGTACATTTAGTAATAAACTCATATTAGAGTACTCACTTTAATGCTCTAGGGAGTAGGAACTGTAACTATGGATCAGTCACTACCAAGGGCACTTCGAAAGCTTACTTTGTAATACAAGTGTTGGATTCATGCCAAAGAAATAGGAAATCATATAGCCTTACATAACTTATTTTCTGACCAATATAACTATCACGATTCAGCCTCCCTTTTTGGTGCTAATCTACAATATAAGTCATGATTAATCTAATGTTAGCAGCTAATCACATTAAGGCCATCGAAAAACAGTAGCTAAACACTTGAAGGAAAGTAGGCTCATACAACCCTTACTCAAATGGTGAACCACCACACCCTTCTTCTATACATTAATATAACTTCATACATCATTTGCCAAGATACCCAAGCTGCCCCCAACAACAGTATACATAAGGCAGCCACTATCATTCCCCAAAAATCTTTCAGCATAATAGGAGAATATTGAACTCAAGGATTTATATTTATCCATGAGGTCTTGACAAAAATATATACAAAATTCTCCACCTCAAACCTGTATTTAAAGATAGGCAAAAATGGGCAATAGCCTTACCTTAGTTTCTGGAAATTTATCCTCTAAACTTGAACTTCAAGAACTGAAACTCTCCTTCAACCTTTTACTTGAAAAAGGGGTCAATATTCAAGAACCGTAAGGTGTTTTAGGGCTGCTGTGTTAATACAAGAAAGACCAAGAGAGAAACTTAATAAATCTAAAATTTTGCATGTTCAAAATGAAGCAAAAGATCTGATCTTTATACCTTCAAAAAGGAGGTGCATTGACCGACTTTCTTGGCCAATTTTGGGCCATATATTGTCAAGTAGGTGACCCACCTATTTGACCTTTTAATTTGGGCCTTTGTGACTTCAACACTTGTTGGGCCTTGCTGCCAATTATCCCTCTATTCTTGTCAATTTGGGCCATAATTAATGCAAGTAAGTGATCCACCTACTTGAACTTTTCACTTGGGCCTTTTTTGGACTTAAGAATATTGGGCCTTGGCTGTCCATTTTCCCCGTAGCCTTCTACTCAACTTGGGCCAGATTAATGCATGTAAGTGGTAGTGTAATTGGTCCAATTGCATGGTCAAAAGAGTCTTAGTAGGTGATGCACCTATTTGGTCCTTTGGGCTGGTCAATAAGTCAAAGTAGGTGATGCACCTACTTGGTCCTTTGGACTGGTCAATAAGTCAAAGTAGATGATGCACCTTCTTATCACCAACAAGCTTAGTTAAGTCAAGCAAGCACCTCAATAATTTATTCCATTTCTAGACCTTAATACCTTTAACTTAACTTAAAACTTGTATACACTATGTCAATTTAAACTTTAATCTCAAATACCACCTTATGTTCTCAAGTTTAAAGACTTCCATCGACGTCAACTTAATTGGCTTGCATCAAAATCTACGGACAGTTCACTTTAAACCTATTCTATTGTCACTAGTTGCATACGAAACCGAGTCCATAACTATACCACAAGGAAATTTATAAGTGTCATATAAATAGAACTAGTACATGTAGAATATGGGGTGTTACAGTAGTGACATAAACCTCTCTGCAGAGTTCATGAGTCAGTTATCTTATAGAATAATTGTTTTTCAGTTATCTACACCAACCACTCCCGAATAGATTGGTGTAGAAGAGAAAAGAAGTGAACTCTTATGGAGATGATTAGATTAATTATTGACTTATTATTAGTTATTTTATTTCTTTTGGGATAGGTTCTAATAACTATATATCACATTCTGAATTCAATTTCTTTCAAATCAGTACCTTGGACAACTATAGAACTAGTTGGATTTGATGTAAGTCTAATCTGTGACATGTTCAGATATAGGATTGTCCAACATATATGCTAAGTGGGGGAATAAGAAAATTGGAATTAAGAATGTAATGTGTGTGTTAATTGGATATCCCAAAGAATGAAAGAAGGTTTATTGTAGTGTCCTAAAAATATAAGGCTATTGTTAACACAACTGTCTAATTTCTAGAAAAGGATCATTTAGTAAACCATGTTCCTAGAAGTAAACTAGTTTTACAGAACAAACAAATAACAAATAAGTAAATTATAAATTCAGACGCTCAAGAACATCTAATCGGTATATCAGAATTGACATTCTATTGCATTTAAGTAGTGGGAGATACTTTACTAGACATAAGAAAACTACTACCTCAAGTAGTGGGAGTGATGTTGAGCAAATGAAAACTACATGAAAAGTTGTTAAAATTTCAATATCGATAGATTTTGAAGAAAATATTAAGACTCAATAACATTAAAGTGTGATAATATAGTAGTGCTTAATCGTAGTGGGAGAATCATAACAAAGATTGATTTGTTTTGTATGTGTGAGAGAACTTTCATGATATAACTCTCGAAAAGAAGTACACGCTTGTAGATTTTCATGATAATGTCCCTCAAGATATACTACAAAATTGATTAGTTACGACAAAGCACTACTAGACAAAATTGCATGAGAAAATAACTTGGTAAATTTCTTTTGATAAGAAATAAAGGAATGCATGTGAAAGTTGTATATGCATAGTTAAGATTCTATGTGGGAAATTGTTAGGGTGTATACTGTTAATCATGTGTTTAGACATAGTATTCTAACAATTTTCAAGATTAAAAATCTAAGTGGGAGATTGTTAGGGTATATACTATTAACCATGCATTTAGATATAGTACATTATAACAATCGTGATGGTTAAAAGTCTAAGTGGGAGATTGTTGGGATATATACTATTAACCATATGTTTAGATATAATATTTATCATAGTATAAATATTTATTCAGTTTTAATAGATCATATATTCGTTTATGGTGTCTATTTACTTATATAGTAGATGATTTAGTGTGTAGAGTTTTAACTTATACACAGAGGATTAAATCATCGGTTCTTATAAGTATAAAGTTTTTTGTTCACAATCTAGGATGGAAATTGGACATGCTATCGGTACGATTGTAGCACAAGATTAAATGTAATTTATCTTGATTATGGAAACGGTATAGTTCCAACTTCTTGTGCTAGTGCATTTTGTATGTATTGAATAGGACCGAGTAGAGATAGTTGTTCTAGACTGGCTGACAAAAACATATTCTCTAAACTGTTAAATATACTTATATTCTTAATCCTGATATAACTATTATGATCTGTATATATTAATTATCGTTTTGATTTATTAAAAGGTGAGATTCTGAGATGGGTCAGTATGCGTGGTAGATTGGATGATAATAATATATATTGGTGAAATAATAAGTTAGTTGATGGAATCCATGTCTCATTATAGAGATTGATTGATATGCCTTTCTGAGAAACTTATAAGTTTCAATCGTGTCAAACCTTGCAAGTGAATTTATGAATCCGACACATGAAATAAGTTAAGTAGTGCTCTAAAAGAAAAATTAATCATTGAATTAAATTCGTCACTAATTTAATTTATTGATTAGTATCTATAATCTTAACATGGGAATAACATAAGTGTTTAATGGAGAATTTTGAAATATAAAATACAGGAGTGCAATAACGAATTTCTAGTGGAATGATTTGTAATTTATTATGGTAAGAATAATTCAAATTAATTATTTGGAATTATTTCCATAATTGGAGGCCTCAGTAATTAATTTTTTGGTCGCTATAGTGCCCATATTTAACTAGAACTCAGAATCCTATTTTCTTAGGGAAAAGGGAAAGAAACGTGATTTTTTGGTTTTTCAAGAAAACTGGGTTTGCTTCTCCTTTTTGGATTGGGAGGAAATCTCTATAAGTAGGGATTCTCCTAACCTAGAAAACATGATTGAAGGTTTTCTATTTGATACTTGACCACCCAAGTATGGAGAGAGTTCGGATGTGAACTTCGGATCACTGTAGCAGACCATAGTTGATGTCTATCTTGTGGATTCGCTTGAAGGTATCTGCTCATGCTTCAAGAGGTATTTATCAGCTAGTTTATGTGTTCTAGCATAAACGATATTGGTTATCTATTAGTCATGTAAGCAGTATGATTCTGGTATGCTTCCACTGTGCATATAGTTTTCCAACAAATTGAACCAAGAATACTTCTTATTGCTCTTGGTTTGGTGTCACTTGCAGTCCAAAAAGGCAAAGGGATTTAGCCTTGGCTCTTCCTAATTTGCAACTTCAAGGCACAATTTCACCATCTTTAGCAAATTTTTCCTTTCTCGGAGAGCTCAATCTTGGGAACAACAACTTCCACGGTGGCATCCCTTATGGACTTGGCCACTTGCCTCGCTTGCGAGTGATTGATATTCAAAACAATCATCTTAATGGAAGTATACCTACAAGTCTATTTCAACACCGAAGAGTTCAAGTTATTTCATTGGCTTTCAATAAACTCCATGGTGAAATGTGGAAAGGGCCATGATATGTACCTGAACTCAGAGTCTTGGATCTCACCAACAATAGCCTCACGGGTATGCGGTATGATCCCTCCTTTTGTTGGAAATGCCACAAACATGATCAACTTCAGTTTGTTTGGAAATAGAGTTAGCGGCAACATTCCAAAGGAGATCAGTAATCTGAGCCAACTAGAAGACTTGTCCTTGAGTGATAATCAATTAACAAGTTCCATTCCCACGACACAGTTTAATATCTCGTCACTACTTGCCTTACATCTGCTAAACAATAGCCTTTCTGGTCCTCTCTTGCAAGATGAAGGAAATATTGTGTCCAATTTAGAGGTATTACGTATATCTCACAACCAAATTTCTGGTTGCATTCCTTCCAACATTTGTCGGATACTCACAAAGCTCAAAATGTTGTCTTTATCTTTCAACAACATAACTGGAGAAATACCTAGAAATATTGGTTGTCTAGCCAAGCTTGAGGTGTTGTCTATTGGACGTAATGCAATGAGTGGGACTATTCATGCTTCATTGGGCAATATTTCCACTCTGGAAAATCTTGGTTGTTCTCACTCTCGCATAGTGGGGCATTCCATCCACTACAGGTCTTCATCTTTCGAACCTTAAAGAACTTTACTTGGGAGACAATCAACTCGAAGGGGAAATTCCATTGTTCATAATAAATGCTTCCAAGCATGAGATACTGGGGCTAGCATAGAACTTCTTGACAGGAGCTATTCCTACTAATTTGGGGAATCTTCGCAAGCTGCGATTACTACTCCTGTATCATAATCAACTTACAAATGAACTAGGAGATCATGAGTTGTGATTCTTCAATTCATTGGTGGACTATCGGATGTTGCGATATCTACAGGTGGGCTACAATCCGTTGAATGGTGTCCTTCCAAATTCTATTGGGAATCTTTTATCAACTATTTAAAACATTAAAATAGGAGATACACACTGTAGGAAAACTATATGCACAGCGGAAGCATACCATAATCATAGAACTTACATGAATAATAGACAACACATAATTTATGCTAGAACATATAGAATCATTCTAGATCACATAAAATTTCTGAAATTTCATTCAAGGATTACCTCTAGAAGCGTGAGCAGATATTTTAATAAAATCCACATGCAAGAACCTTCAAACGAATCCACAAGCTAGTCCATAACCTCGAAAAGAGTTCTACGGTCTTCTATAGTGATCCCAAGTTCACTTTCGAACACTCTCAATACTTGGGTGAGCAGGTATTTTAATGAAAAATTATCTTCTTTCAACGGTTAGAAGAATACCTATTAATAGAGATTTCTTCCTAGTCGTCATGACCCAAGGGTACACCCTAGGTGTAACATGGCGTACTTGACCCCGAAGGGGTCTCGTACAAGCCCTTAGCATATCATAACAGAAGATAATAGAAAATTACGGAAATTTTAAAAACTTTTATCCATACAATCAAAGTTTTTTTATAAAAGCAAGCGGAAGTCTTTACTACACTTTGTCTCAAACCATCTAATACAACTTTAGTATAAAAATCTTGGGACATAGCTGATATACCGTGAGTTTACGGTATTTCTAATACATTTCACTTACAAGTTGTGTGTGTCTAAGGCCCTTTTATATTGGTTTTGATGTGTAGAGACAGCTAAAAGAAATGCAGAAGAAAGGCATTCACGGAGGTGATCTAGGGACCGTAGGTCCATTCACGGTCCGTAGGTGATGCCCGTAGATCAGCAGGCAAGGCATGGAGGACAAATCACGGAAATCTGACCAAGTGTAGAACCACGGTGTCTATTGACGGTCTGTAGATTGATCTACGGACCGTACTGTTGATCCGTAGGGTAATACTGCGAGGCTTCCAGTACCTGATTTTTGAAGATTCTAAGTGTGGAGCTACGGAGGGGATTGACGGACCGTAGATCGATCTACGGTCCATACTGTTGGTCCGTCGTTTGCTTCAGAGAAGCTGATTTTGGGAAGCTGATTATAGTGTTTTGCATGCATTGATAATTCTTTCATTTAAAGTCTTTTTAACTAGTTCACGCGTTAGAACTCGCCTTGTTGCTACTTGCC